AGCCTGACTCTGGCAGACCCATGTGGTCCTAGCCTGACTCTGCCAGACCCATGTGGTCCTAGCCTGACTCTGGCAGACCCATGTGGTCCTAGCCTGACTCTGGCAGACCCATGTGGTCCTAGCCTGACTCTGGCAGACCCATGTGGTCCTAGCCTGACTCTGCCAGAGCCATGTGGTCCTAGCCTGACTCTGGCAGACCCATGTGGTCCTAGCCTGACTCTGGCAGACCCATGTGGTCCTAGCCTGACTCTGGCAGACCCATGTGGTCCTAGCCTGACTCTGGCAGACCCATGTGGTCCTAGCCTGACTCTGGCAGACCCATGTGGTCCTAGCCTGACTCTGCCAGAGCCATGTGGGCCGCTGCACTTCACATGAGTCTGGTACTGAGCCACAGTGGTTGGATTTCAGAAGCAGGGCCTTGTAAAAAAAATCCTTGTATGTGATTGGATAGACCACTTGTCCGTTATCTTGAATGAAGTCTGCTTTCAGCCACTCACATCGAAGCACACGGCTCCCATAGGTTGCCAAATCCCAGCAAGATTTTCCAACCCAAAATCTGCGAGAATACCCACAAAAAAAACTCAGAATGATTTTTTGGCTAAAAACGTAATATAATCAACTTGGGCTGTCATGATTCTGTTTATTGTCTTTCTGTTTATTTAATACCTACAAGTCTCTTGGAAAAAAATAGTTCCAGACTACAGTTCCAGACTAATTCAAGCACCTATTTCTTCAGGAAAGGTCTCATTTTGTAGCTAACGAGTCGGGGAACACGAACAGTTTGTGGGTGAGAAACAAAGTGCTCTGTGCTCTTTCAGAACTTGTTTTTTGCTAAAAATAAATGCATATTTTTGGATTTTTTTCTCCAGAATGGATTATACTTTGGGAAATACAAGTGGATATTCTTTTTCCATGGACATTTACGGAGAGAAAGAGCCATAGGAAGCCGGGAGATCTGATTTATTTATGGAGCAGAAGAGAAAAGGTAAAAAACATGTCGGAAGCGATTTATTTTGTGCCCAATATGATGTGTTATATCTTTTGAATGCAAAGTATGCTGTAGTTTACACCTGTATATAAATGTAGATAAGAAAATAAGCTTTAAAATGATATACAGCTTTTGGGGTTTGGTGTTTAAAATGCATCTGTTATTGCCAGCGGAACATTTTAAAAATAAAAATCACTAAAGCAGAACCACCCCCAACATGTGATCACGTGTGGACCGTACCATGACGGAGGCTTCCTGAAGGTTAGACCAGACCAGACCGGACCAGACAGACACTGACAGACACTGACACACACAGACCACCACAAGCACACAGACACACACCCACACACACACAGACACACACACACACACACACATAACCTCTGACCCGTTGAAGGAGGTGAAAAACTAAATTTGAATCAAACTGCAGTATGTTGATATTGTGATGTCGCACACATTCAGAACGATGTTGTTTTTCTAGATTAATAAACGGTAAAGAGCGACTCTTGAGTCTTGACAGAGTCCTTGACTGCAACAATCGACATAGACAACAAAAAATATCCAAAACTTTTCTAAAAGGTTATCCACAGAATTGTAACATTTGGACCAAAAAGGTGGATCTGGAGGCTCTGAAAGTCCGGTCGTGACAAAGACCTTTGGGTCAAAACGTGGAGGCGTCTTTTCCAAGTGAAAGACTTTAAACTCAGAGTGGTTCAAAAATCTTTCCATTCTGTGTTTGTTATTCTGTAATAAACATTTACTTTCATACTATTTCATTTTACAGCCTGAAAAAACACAGAGAACCACTTACCAAAGTCTCATGTGTGACCTCTGACCTGTGCCTAAAGGGCTGTAAGTCTTTCTATAACAAACCATTATCATTGTTATAAATATCTGGTGTTTTACAGGACTAATGTGTTCATCCTCAGCCTGTCACACGTCCCTCTCCCCTAACCCTAACCCCACATACCCACGGACTGCGGTGGCATTCAGACCTGATTACAGCCGTCATAACAGCGGCTCTGCTCAGGCGTGTGTAAATCCTCCGACGGGAGAACAAAGCCATGGAAGTGAACGAGAGCGCATACATAAACAGCCATGTCCATGCATAATGCAGACACACGGGCACCTCCCAAACTCCTGCACACTCTCTGACACCGACGCACCTCCATCACAGCAGAGGGACCACGCTCCGCTCACCCCAGCACCCTCCATCTCTGCTCCCCAAATCCACGCCATATGACCTTCTGCGGGACAGATAAAGAATGTGCTTATCAGTCATGCAAATGAGGCTGAATTCATTTTCCACAACAGATGGCCCCATAGATAATGATGATGGAGGAGAGAAAATTAAATGTCTCTCGCTCCGTGACCATGGCAACCCAGCCTCTGCGGTGTAATATCAATAATAAGTGTGCCGCATAATAAGGTTGTCAGTCCTGTGAATCAAAACCTTCCCGTGATGGGATAGGGCGAGAGGGGGCGACGTCTGGGGGAAAAGTTCAGAGGAGTTTGTGAGGAGACGTGGGAGGTCCGGAGAGATAATGCTTTATAGATTAGGAAAAGACTATTTTTGACTTTCTCTCGACAAGTCACAACAAAAACACGATCCACATCAAATAACACCATGACAAAAACACACTGACCACACAACAGTAAAACTAACTACACAAGCTGCAAAATCACAGAAACAAAGACACACACAAAAATAAATAAAAAAATAAATAATGCTGACCCTACAAGAAACACATAACTTTATAAGAATCCACACACTCTGGGCTCCGTCATTACAGATGAAACTGTGATAGAACTAAACAAATGCATTTATAAAGTGCTGAAAATCATTGGTTTTATAAAGTTATTTTCAGACGCTCAAAGTCTCTTCACATTATCCTCTCTCTCCAAACACGGTGGTGATAAACTACTGTTGCCACAGCTTCCCTGGGGCACACTGACAGAAGTGAGGCAACCAGTCTGTGCCATCGGCCCCTCCCACCACCACCAACCATTCACACACACACCAGACTCATTCTAATGTGGAGGAAGTGTCTTGCCCAAGGACACAACCACAGTTTGGCACTTTACAGCCGCCCCACTGTGGCACCTGCTGTTCCCAGAGGTCTCCCATCACAGCACTAACCAGCTTCAGAGGTCTGACAGGATCTGGCTTTTTAATGCATGTGTGGCCACGACTAATGAACATGTGTTTGAGATGAATAGAATATAAAATAATAATAAGGACCAGAGCTTGAGGACAAAGTGAAACCGGAGCACCCGGAGGAAACCCCACGCAGACACAGGGAGAACATGCAAACTCCACTCGGAAGGGCTCTGCTGGAGGTGGAATCTTCAGGCAGAGAAGCGAGAATGCTAACCACTCAGCCACAGCAGACATCAGCGGGAGTCTGTGGAGAAAGTCTTGTGGTGGGACTCGAACCCATCACAGCTAACTCTGGATTAGCCGCTCAACACTTTTTTCATGTTTTTACTTCTGGTTTGTCGTGTCTAAAGTTTAACTAATCATGATTTTTATTATTTTTCTGTGGATTTAATCAGAATCTGTCCTTTTCTGTGAAGTCAGACTGAGTTACCTGTGAAGACGTTTGTATTTGACTCATTCCACTTTAAACTGAGACTAAAGAACTCTGAGATGGAGGGAAACGAACTGATGATGGTTCAGTGTTTTATAGTAAGTAAGTAGTAAGTAATCTTTATTTATATACCGCCTTTTCACTGCACACCGGAGTCTCAAAGCGGTTTACAATTGTTATTTTTGGGAGCGGGGCCAGTACAGGAGGCACATGCCAGAACTATTGTACATATTTTTAGTGGTAGGGGAAACCGGAACACCCGGAGGAAACCTACGCAGACACAGGGAGAACATGCAAACTCCACTCAGAAAGGCCCTGGTCCAACCGGGATTCAAACCCAGGACCTCCTTGCTGAGAGGCGAGAGTGCTATCCACTCAGCCACCGTGTTTTATACAAAAAGCCACGATGCACTTCACAGAAAACAGAAACATTTAACAGAACATTGTCTTTGAGTGGTCCTCTTTTTATCTGTTTTATTGTTATATTTTTGTTATTGTTTGTGTCACATGTTTATTGTTAACTGTGTTTTATTGTTTTAATTACATTTGCACTGTTTTTACTCTGAGTATAATGTTTTAATACAATTTTTAATATTTTTAAACATAAGGCTGGATTTTTGTCTTTCATGTATTTCATTTTTTAGTCGTAAAGGAGGCTAGTACAGAACGGGTAAAGGTGCATTTGACCCGGATGCCCTAAGGCTCACGTCAGGACCAGAGCTGGAGGATTTAACCTAGTGTCGTGAGCATGTTTTTAGTGATAGGGGAAACCGGAGCGCCCGGAGGAACCCTACACAATTCTTGCAGAGAGGCGAGAGTGCTAACCTCTCAGCACCGTGCCACCACAAGGTTTCAAAGAGAACTAAAACCCTTTCTTTTGAATCAGGCCTTTTCTTTTGGATTCGAACCCATAATGTTTCTTTCTGATTTATCTATAAACTTTCGATTATTTTGTTTTGTTGTTTGAGGTTTTGTGTTTTCATCTGTAGCACTTAGCCCTATTGTTATTATCCTGCTGGTCCCAGAGTCAGGACTAAACATGGGGAGGCTGCTTTTCAGACTCATACTAAAATCTGGAACAGTCTTCCTGAAAGTGTGAGACAGGCCTCCTCTCTGACACCTTATGATTTTTATTATTATTAATTTCAAGATAGAGATTTTATACTTGTTTGATGCTAGAGTTAGAGATTGTATTTTATTATAATTAGTGTAGAGCTATTGTTCACTTTGGGCTGTGTGCTTCTATAACTTGTGATGCAACACTGACATTTCCTCGCTGTGGGACGGATAAAGGAATCTCTTCATCTTAATGAGCTGAAGATCCAGTCGTCCAAAAAGGCGGGAGTTGAACCAGCGCCTGTAGTGTCAGCGTGAGCAGCAGTGGCGTGACTCAGACGCACATGGAGCCATCAGAATAGAGCCTCGGAGCTGGAGCTTTGTCCAAATATAACCGGCGTGTGGAGGGAGGAGAAGCTCGGCATGAGTCATCAGAGGATCCACGCCCGCCGCCATGAGCTGCTGAGTTCACGACTCCTGTCACACTTTCACAAACAAACCTTTTCTGTTGTTGTCTGAGTAATATTGAAGTCGTCCAGAAACACTTTGCTCATGGGTCGAGGCGTCGCACAGAAACTGCACACGGCTGTCTTTTTGCACAATCTGACTCTTATTTTATCTGAAAGGATTCTTCTGCCACCGCTCTGTTAGTATTTTATGTTACTCTACTTTGTTAATTTATTTAAAGAAATCACTCACAGTTGTTTGGAAAACCACAGAACAAGACTGGGGGGTTGGCGGCCATTTTATACCTGGAAGAGTCCATAAGTCGCAAAGATTGGGGGGAAAGAGACACTGCTGAACCTTAATATTATTTATTCTTAATTATCATCAGACTTGTATATTTTAATATGGTACTTTTATCCCTGCAGCACTTTGGAGACGTGTTTTATAAAACCCTATCCCTTTTTAAAAGCAATCATTCACAGTTGTTTGGAAAACCAAAGAACAAGACTGGAGAGTTGGCGGCCATTTTATACCTGGAAGAGTCCATTAGTCCCAAGGATCGGGGGGGAAGAGACACTGCTAAACCTTAATATTATTTATTTTTATTTAATATGTTACTTTTATAAAATGTGCTACATAGATAAAGTGGATTGTATTTTATTTCAGTTTTAGCGTTTCCCTCTGGTGTCAACTTGGGATACTCCTGGATTTAAGACCTCGTTTGTTCATGCTGGGGGGTTCTTTTCCTTGGTTTAGTTTGGTTGTGTACTTTTATATTTTTCTGATATAAATTAGAGATGATTTGTCCTAACCTTTGTTTGGTCCTTTATAAACAATCCTTTCCACAGCTCCGTGTGCTGCTGCTCATTCAGAATTACGTTTATTTTTATCTTTGCGCAGAATCAGCAGGTTTTGATTCATCCCCAAGAGTTTATATGACCCAACTCTAACCAACCCTCTGTATGACTCCCTCTGACTCCCTCTGCATGACTCCCTCTGACTCCCTCTGCATGACTCTCTCTGCATGACTCCCTCTGACTCCCTCTGCATGACTCCCTCGGCATGACTCCCTCTGACTCCCTCTGCATGACTCCCTCGGCATGACTCCCTCTGACTCCCTCTGCATGACTCTCTCTGCATGACACCCTCTGCATGACTCCCTCTGACTCCCTCTGCATGACTCCCTCTGACTCCCTCTGCATGACACCCTCTGCATGACTCCCTCTGCATGACACCCTCTGCATGACACCCTCTGCATGACTCCCTCTGACTCCCTCTGCATGACTCCCTCTGCATGACACCCTCTGCATGACACCCTCTGTATGACACCCTCTGCATGACACCCTCTGTATGACACCCTCTGCATGACACCCTCTGCATGACACCCTCTGCATGACACCCTCTGCATGACACCCTCTGATGACACCCTCTGCATGACACCCTCTGCATGACACCCTCTGCATGACACCCTCTGCATGACTCCCTCTGCATGACTCCTCTGCATGACACCCTCTGACTGATACACCCTCTGATGACACCCTCTGTATGACCCCCTCTGCATGACACCCTCTGTATGACACCCCTCTGTATGACACCCTCTGCATGACACCCTCCTCTGTATGACACCCTCTGTATGACACCCTCTCATGACACCCTCTGTGACACCCTCTGTATGACACCCCTCTGATGACATGACCCTCTGATGACACCCTCTGCATGACACCCTTGCATGTTGACATGACCCCTCTGCATGACACCCTCTGTATGACACCCTCTGACATGACACCTGCCCTCTGCATGACACCCTCTGTATGACACCTCTGACCCCTCTGTATGACACCCTCTGAGATCGACACCCTCTGCATGATGACACCCTCTGTATGACACCCTCTCCTCTGTGACACCCTCTGTATGACACCCTCTGATGAGACTCCCTCTGCATGACACCCTCTGACATGACCTCTGATGACCCTCTGTATGACACCCTCATGACACCCTCTGCATGACACCCTCTGCATGACACCCTCTGATACACCTGTATGACACCCTCTGCATGACACCCTCTGATGACACCCTCTGCATGACACCCTCTGCATGACACCCTCTGCATGACACCCTCTGCATGACACCCTCTGCATGACACCCTCTGTATGACACCTCTCTGATGACACCTCTCTGATGACACCCTCTGCATGACTCCCTCTGTATGACACCCTCTGCATGACACCCTCTGTATGACACCCTCTGCATGACTCCCTCTGTATGACACCCTCATGACATGACACCCTCTGCATGACACCCTCTGTATGACACCCCTCTCCATGACACCCTCTGTATGACACCCTCTGCATGACTCCCTCTGCATGACACCCTCTGCATGACACCCTCTGTATGACACCCTCTGTATGACTCCCTCTGCATGACACCCTCTGTATGACACCCTCTGTATGACACCCTCTGAATGACACCCTCTGTATGACACCCTCTGTATGACACCCTCTCCATGACACCCTCTGCATGACACCCTCTGTATGACACCCTCATGACACCCTCTGTATGACACCCTCTGCATGACACCCTCTGTATGACACCCTCTGTAGGACACCCTCTGCATGACACCCTCTGTATGACACCCTCATGACACCCTCTGCATGACACCCTCTGCATGACACCCTCTGTATGACACCTTCTGTATGACACCCTCATGACACCCTCTGCATGACACCCTCTGTATGACACCCTCTGTATGACCCCTCTGCATGACACCCTCTGTATGACACCCTCTGTATGACACCCTCTGTATGACACCCTCTGCATGACACCCTCTGCATGACACCCTCTGTATGACACCCTCATGACACCCTCTGCATGACACCCTCTGCATGACACCCTCTGTATGACACCCTCTGTATGACACCCTCATGACACCCTCTGCATGACACCCTCTGTATGACACCCTCTGCATGACACCCTCTGTATGACACCCTCTGCATGACACCCCTCTGCATGACACCCTCTGCATGACACCCTCTGTATGACACCCTCTGCATGACACCCTCTGCATGACACCCTCTGCATGACTCCCTCTGTATGACACCCTCTGCATGACACCCTCTGTATGACACCCTCATGACACCCTCTGCATGACACCCTCTGCATGAATCCCTCTGTATGACACCCTCTGCATGACACCCTCTGTATGACACCCTCTGTATGACACCCTCTGCATGACACCCTCTGCATGACACCCTCTGCATGACTCCCTCTGTATGACACCCTCTGCATGACACCCTCTGTATGACACCCTCATGACACCCTCTGCATGACACCCTCTGCATGACACCCTCTGTATGACACCCTCATGACACCCTCTGCATGACACCCTCTGCATGACACCCTCTGTATGACACCCTCTGTATGACACCCTCTGTATGACACCCTCTTCATGATACCCTATGTATGACACCCTCATGACACCCTCTGCATGACACCCTTTGTATGACACCCTCTGCATGTCACCCTCTGCATGACACCCTCTGCATGACACCCTTTGTATGACACCCTCTGTATGACACCCTCTGCATGACACCCTCTGTATGACACCCTCTGTATGACACCCTTTGTATGACACCCTCTGTATGACACCCTCTGCATGACACCCTCTTCATGACACCCTATGTATGACACCCTCATGACACCCTCTGCATGACACCCTTTGTATGACACCCTCTGCATGACACCCTCTGCATGACTCCCTCTGTATGACACCCTCTGCATGACACCCTCTGCATGACTCCCTCTGCATGACACCCTCTGCATGACACCCTCTGCATGACACCCTCTGCATGACACCCTCTGCATGACTCCCTCTGCATGACACCCTCTGTATGACACCCTCTGCATGACACCCTCTGCATGACTCCTTCTGCATGACACCCTCTGCATGACACCCTCTGCATGACACCCTCTGTATGACACCCTCTGCATGACACCCTCTGCATGACTCCTTCTGCATGACACCCTCTGCATGACACCCTCTGCATGACTCCCTCTGCATGACACCCTCTGTATGACACCCTCTGCATGACACCCTCTGTATGACACCCTCATGACACCCTCTGCATGACACCCTCTGTATGACACCCTCTGCATGACATCCTCTGTATGACACCCTCTGCATGACACCCTCTGTATGACACCCTCTGCATGACTCCCTCTGTATGACACCCTCATGACACCCTCTGCATGACACCCTCTGTATGACACCCTCTGTATGACACCCTCATGACACCCTCTGTATGACACCCTCTGTATGACACCCTCTGCATGACACCCTCTGTATGACACCCTCTGTATGACACCCTCTGCATGACACCCTCTGCATGACACCCTCTGCATGACACCCTCTGCATGACACCCTCTGTATGACACCCTCTGTATGACACCCTCTGCATGACACCCTCTGTATGACACCCTCTGCATGACACCCTCTGCATGACACCCTCTGTATGACACCCTCATGACACCCTCTGCATGACACCCTCTGCATGACACCCTCTGTATGACACCCTCATGACACCCTCTGCATGACACCCTCTGCATGACACCCTCTGTATGACACCCTCTGTATGACACCCTCATGACACCCTCTGCATGACACCCTCTGTATGACACCCTCTGCATGACACCCTCTGCATGACACCCTCTGCATGACACCCTCTGTATGACACCCTCTGTACGACACCCTCTGTATGACACCCTCTGTATGACACCCTCTGCATGACACCCTCTGCATGAATCCCTCTGCATGACACCCTCTGTATGACACCCTCTGTATGACACCCTCTGCATGACACCCTCTGCATGACTCCCTCTGCATGACACCCTCTGTATGACTCCCTCTGTATGACACCCTCTGTATGACACCCTCTGTACGACACCCTCTGCATGACACCCTCTGCATGACACCCTCTGCATGACACCCTCTGTATGACACCCTCTGCATGACACCCTCTGCATGACACCCTCTGTATGACACCCTCTGTACGACACCCTCTGTATGACACCCTCTGTATGACACCCTCTGCATGACACCCTCTGCATGAATCCCTCTGCATGACACCCTCTGTATGACACCCTCTGTATGACACCCTCTGCATGACACCCTCTGCATGACTCCCTCTGCATGACACCCTCTGCATGACTCCCTCTGCATGACACCCTCTGTATGACACCCTCTGTATGACACCCTCTGTATGACACCACCCTCTGCATGACACCCTCTGCATGACACCCTCTGCATGACCCTGCATGACACCCTCTGCATGACACCCTCTGTATGAATCCCTCTGCATGACACCCTCTGTATGACACCCTCTGCATGACACCCTCTGCATGACTCCCTCTGCATGACACCCTCTGCATGACTCCCTCTGCATGACACCCTCTGTATGACACCCTCTGTATGACACCCTCTGTATGACACCCTCTGCATGACACCCTCTGCATGACACCCTCTGTATGACACCCTCTGCATGACACCCTCTGTATGACACCCTCTTCATGATACCCTATGTATGACACCCTCATGACACCCTCTGCATGACACCCTTTGTATGACACCCTCTGCATGACACCCTCTGCATGACACCCTCTGCATGACACCCTTTGTATGACACCCTCTGTATGACACCCTCTGCATGACACCCTCTGTATGACACCCTCTGTATGACACCCTCTGCATGACACCCTTTGTATGACACCCTCTGCATGACACCCTCTGCATGACTCCCTCTGCATGACACCCTCTGCATGACACCCTCTGTATGGCACCCTCTGCATGACACCCTCTGTATGACACCCTCTGCATGACACCCTCTGTATGACACCCTCTGCATGACTCCCTCTGCATGACACCCTCTGCATGACACCCTCTGCATGACACCCTCTGCATGACACCCTCTGCATGACACCCTCTGTATGACACCCTCTGTATAACACCCTCTGCATGACACCCTCTGTATGACACCCTCTGTATGACACCCTCTGCATGACACCCTCTGTATGGCACCCTCTGTATGACACCCTCTGTATGACACCCTCTGCATGACACCCTCTTCATGACACCCTATGTATGACACCCTCATGACACCCTCTTCATGACACCCTATGTATGACACCCTCATGACACCCTCTGCATGACACCCTCTGCATGACTCCCTCTGCATGACACCCTCTGCATGACACCCTCTGTATGACACCCTCTGCATGACACCCTCTGCATGACTCCCTCTGCATGACACCCTCTGTATGACACCCTCTGCATGACACCCTCTGCATGACACCCTCTGTATGACCCCTCTGCATGACTCCCTCTGCATGACACCCTCTGTATGACACCCTCTGTATGACACCCTCTGCATGACACCCTCTGTATGACACCCTCATGACACCCTCTGCATGACACCCTCTGCATGACACCCTCTGTATGACACCCTCTGTATGACACCCTCTGCATGACACCCTCTGCATGACACCCTCTGTATGACACCCTCATGACACCCTCTGCATGACACCCTCTGCATGACACCCTCTGTATGACACCCTCTGTATGACACCCTCTGCATGACACCCTCTGCATGACACCCTCTGCATGACACCCTCTGCATGACACCCTCTGCATGACACCCTCTGTATGACACCCTCTGTATGACACCCTCTGCATGACACCCTCTGTATGACACCCTCTGTATGACACCCTCTGCATGACACCCTCTGTATGACACCCTCTGCATGACACCCTCTGTATGACACCCTCTGCATGACACCCTCTGCATGACACCCTCTGTATGACACCCTCTGTATGACACCCTCTGTATGACACCCTCTGCATGACACCCTCTGCATGACACCCTCATGACACCCTCTGCATGACACCCTCTGCATGACACCCTCTGCATGACACCCTCTGTATGGCACCCTCTGCATGACACCCTCTGTATGACACCCTCTGTATGACACCCTCTGCATGACACCCTCTGCATGACACCCTCTGTATGACACCCTCTGTATGACACCCTCTGTATGACACCCTCTGCATGACACCCTCTGCATGACACCCTCATGACACCCTCTGCATGACACCCTCTGCATGACACCCTCTGCATGACACCCTCTGCATGACACCCTCTGAATGACACCCTCTGTATGACACCCTCTGCATGACACCCTCTGTATGACACCCTCTGCATGACACCCTCTGCATGACACCCTCTGCATGACACCCTCTGCATGACACCCTCTGCATGACACCCTCTGTATGACACCCTCTGCATGACACCCTCTGCATGACACCCTCTGTATGACACCCTCTGCATGACACCCTCTGCATGACACCCTCTGTATGACACCCTCTGCAT